CCTTCAATTCCTGGGAGGATGCGGCTTCATGCTATCCCAGTCATACTGGGACACACTTGGTGTCCTGCCTCCCCCACAGGCCGCTCTCCTCTGTGCCATAATAGGAAAAGAAGGCAGAAAGTCAGACCCTTGCCCTGGCATGACCCTCCCCCCTCCCAATCCTCCTGGTTCAAAGGATCTTTCCAGTTCTACCTGAGGCTCCAGCCCTTTGTGTGAGAGCCTTAGAACCACCCAGGCCTGAGATGACCCTACAGACCCCGGGGCAAAGGCCGTGTGCAGGAGTCTGGGTCGAGGATAGCTACAAAGTGTCTACCTGAACAGAGAACCCGGGGGGCTTTGACTATAGGAGCTGGGAACTGGGAGCTGGAGGGCTGGTAAGCAATGCTCTCAAGCTGAGAAATCCTGAGAGGGCTGGAACCTTAAAAACCAACTCTCGGGGCTGGAGAGAAGGCTCAGTGGTTAGGAGTACTTACTGCTGCTCCAGAGGACCTGGGTTCGATTCCCAGCACCTGCACGGCAGCTCAGAGCAGTCTGTTACTCCAGGTCCGCGGGATCAGGAACTCTCCACTCCTGCAGTGGGAAGCTGACCTGGTACAGGGAGCCGGGCTCACGGGATCAACAACTCACTAGATAGAAATGTTTTTATTGTGCAAATCCCACAAAGGTCCCAGGGTGAAGGCCACAAGCCCCAACCTATCCCTGGCTCCAGGCCTGCGCTTTGGTCCTCATCCTGGTCTTTTTCTCAAAAGCCAGGTCTCCTATGGAGTGTGCAAAATCCACGAGTGCATCTGTGAGTAGGGAGGCCACACAGGGCTCAGTCAAAGTGGCAGTCTCCAGGTGGAGACCAAGGGAGGGGATGTGCGTCCCACACGTCCCAGGTTCAAGGCTGACACTGGTCCACACAGTCCTCTCCACTTCGAAACACTCGGTAGATGCTGGTGGGAGGGAACATGGCCATGGCCCCCAGGAGAGAGCCCACCTGGATGGCCACACCAGCTGCAAGCAACGCTGGCCGGCCTCCACTGTGCAGCATGGAGCTGACTGCCACCTTGACGTATGAGAACACACCTGCGCACAGTACCCAGGAAAGCACCTGGAAGTGGGGGCAGAGGGGCGTTTTGCAGCGGCAAGCTCAACGTGAAATCCCCCTGCTCTGAGACAGGCCCTCTTCCTCTTTCAGGCCCCCACTATACTTACCACGAGGACCACACCTGCAGAGGTGCCCACCAGAGGAGGGCAGGGACTTAGGACTGCCAGCGTCATTAGGTAGGCTCCAAAGCACATGCCCAGCACAGACAGACCATACAGCCCTGCCAGAGACCTGCCAAGGATGGGCTGAGATTCAGGACTGGCTGTCCCAGGCACCGGCTGACCTCAAGTTCCTCCCCTCTGGGGCTTGGGACCCATGTGCACCTGCACAGCACTGCCATGGCCAGAAAGCAGGCAAGGGGGTTGGCGAGGCTACCCAGTACGACAGCCAAGTGGTAGGCCAGGCGCCCATAGGGCAGGCAGGAAAAGCTCTGTACGGCGGGCAGCACACCGTTGGTCAGCGCGTTGGTGACAGCCAGGAGCCCCAGCAGACCGACACTTCGGGAAGAGAACAGTTGAAGGGCCTTAGGGTCGGAGCTGGGACTAGTCACTGCCACCGGGCCTGGTGGCTCCTGCAAAGGTGAGGCCTCTTCCTCTTCCTCCTCTGCTCCTGGTGTTCCTTCCCGGAGCCCTGGACCCATCATGGGTACAGATGGTGCCGACGGCAGTACTAATAGGAGACCTTGGAAGGCAGCAGCTGAAGTGCCCAGAAGGGCAGTCAACACCCAGAAGAAAGTGCTGGCAGAAAAGCGCTCTGGGAAGTTGATGGGAGACACCTTGATGGGCGGCCCGGTGGTACCATTGTCAGGCACAGGCAGGCACTCAAGGCGGCCCACCCCCTGCGCCAGGGCTAGCACACAGGGCAACAGAGCGCTCAGGCCCTGGCCCAGGAAGAAAGACCGTAAAAAGGGAGGTGGCAGGTGGCTCAGGAAGGGCAGGAAAGTGACATTTGAAGCACAGCAGGCTAGTGCCAATATAAACGCCAGCGTCAGGAAGGCCACCGAGTGGGGCTGCCCTGCCACTGGGGCCTCATAGTGCCACAGAGGGGCCAGCAGGGCTGTGCCCGCGATGCTTAGCCCCTGCACCACTTGGATAGGGATCCGCTCGCCCTTGCCGCGGGCCAAACGCCGCCACAGGGTCACCAGCAGCAGACCCAGGTTCCCCAGCGCCACAAGCACAGAGAGGTACGAAGGGAGGCTCCAACCTGCAGTGGAGGGAGGAGACTGCGTAAGCCCCCACCCCAGGCTAAGGAGCCAAGAGCACCTGCAGCCCACCTCCGCCCACTTCTCCTCACTCACCCTCCGGGAGTTCTTTCACCACTACAGGCAGCTCCACCCAGATCCCGTTGACCGCAGCCCAGGAGCCCATGCCGAAGAGGGCCACCAGCAGATGGGTCAGCACCAGTCGGCCCAGCGGAGGTGCTGCCATTAGGTCAGAGGGGGCAGGATCACAGTCCACTCTTCCCCCACGTAGGTCCGAAGCTCCTCTAGCTACTCTAGGAGCCAAACCTCTTCCTGCTGGAAGGAGACAAAAAAAAAAAAGGCGAGTGGACAGAACCGGGGTCTGAGGTAAACAAATCGCAAGACTAAGGCACCTGAAGGGAGGAGGCAGATCGATCAAGAGTTGCACGCACCAAGGAGCCTGCACCGGGACCCCACAGCGCAAGACTGGCAAGCGGGAGAGCAAGACGCTGGCCTAAAGCGTGGCTCTGGGGAGGAGGACCAGCGAAGGAGCAGTGCCTGCAGCTTGAGAAGGAAGTCTCGGCACTGCTAAACCAATCGGGACCACAGCGAACTCCAAGGCAACCGGCGCGGGTCGGTGAGGGGCGTGGCACGGCTGGCTTTACCCCGGGCTCCACCGCCGAGCGCTGTGCATCTGGGCCGTGGGGCCGGAGATGCCCGCCCAGCACCAGCAGCACGCGGCTTGGTCCCGGACTCAGCCAAACCCCAGCCCCAGACCTGGAGGAAAGACACCCGCAAAGCCGCTGTCCTCGCGGCGGAAGTCCCGCCCCCGGAAGCTGAGTGTGGTGGAAGACCTGAGGTCGAGGGCCACGCCCCTTCCTCCCAGCCCACCCGTCCACCTTCCGCTTTAGCGGGGGGACCGGAGCTATGGCTCCTGTATCCTCTGGGCGAGTTCGGCGTCGAGCTCGGGGCTCCAAGCGGGCCGACGCGCGGGCCCGCTCGGCCGAGGACTGGTGGTGGGACAGGCTGGCGCCCCGCGGCTCTGGGTACCACCTGCAGCAAGCGGACAGCATGCTGCTCGTGCTGCCGGACCTGGAACCTACCCGCGCTCGCGCGCACAGGCGCGCCCCTCGCCGCGCTCCGAGACCCCCGGCTCGCGGCCCCACGGCGGCTGCCAAGCACAGGACCAAGCCCCGACCCGAGCCGTCGCCGGATCAGGGCCCGGACTCCGGCTGGGGAGACCGTATTCCCTTAGAAGTCCTGGTGCATATTTTCGGGTTGTTGGTTGCGGCTCATGGGCCCATGCCTTTTCTTGGCAGGTACGCTAACAGCGCCTGCCAGGGGTATGGACTGGCGCACTGAGCAGGTGGAGCTGCAAAGGCAGAGGGCAGAGCATCTCAACGGGTTATACACGAGTGCTCCGGCACCTATCTCCACTTGGAGCCCCCCAAAGCCTGGCTTTAAGACCACGGCGCCGCAAGTTGCAAGGGCAGATAGGCTGCTCCTGAGACACTTTACTGTAGGCATCGCTCACGAAAAGTCATGCACTCTCAGCCAACTCTTTCTTCTCCTAGGGCTGCACGCGTTTGCCGCCGTTGGCATGAAGCCACCTCCCATCCTGCACTCTGGCACACTGTGACCCTGTCACCCCCGCTGGTTGGCCGGGCTGCCAAGGGCAACCTTAAGGCAGAGAAGAAGCTCCTTGCTTCCCTGGAGTGGCTCATACCCAATCGGTGAGGGTCCCTTGTCGTTCCCTTGCTCTGCCTGTGCCTCCGCGCATCAGCGTTGGGCAGGGAGGATGCTGGCCCGAGGGGGCAGCCCGAGGACTCTAGCGCAACTGGGCCTTGCTGTCGCCCAGGTTCTCACAGCTCCAGAGGTTGACCCTCATCCATTGGAAGTCTCAAGTGCACCCTGTGTTGGAGGTGAGAGCTTGAGACTGCCCTGAACACCAGCTGTAACATTTGAGTTGTCCACTGTCGGGACAGTGCCCTTGGTGCTGCCCCACAGAGATGTCTGTCTGCCCCGCTCAGTTCTGTCTTGCTCACACCTTAGGTAGGAAGTTGCCAGAGGAAAAGGCACCCAAGTGGGCCTGGCCTGGGCAGAATGGGCTTTGTCAGGACGTCCGTTGTCTCTGTAGACTTTTACCTGCCCTCCCCAACCCCAGATGGCCTCTCTCTTGCCACAGCTGGTTAGCAGGTTCTGTCCCCGGCTCACCTTCCTCAAGCTTTCAGACTGCCACAATGTGACTGCTGACACGCTGGTCATGTTAGCCAAAGCCTGCTGCCAGCTCCACAGCCTGGACCTACACCATTCCATGGTGAGTCCTGTGCCCCAAGGGGCCCCGACGACGCCTGGGCCCTTGTGAGGTGACACACACCGCCCCCCCCCACACACACACCCTGTGCTGGACCCCTAGGTAGAGTCTACAGCTGTGGTGAGCTTCTTGGAGGAAGCAGGGTCCCGAATGCGGAAGCTGTGGCTGACCTACAGTTCCCAGACGACAGCCATCTTGGGTGCGCTGCTGGTAGGTTGGTGAATGGGCAGGGACTGAGCTGCGCGGGAACTGCCAGGCCTTTGACCTAGTGTGTTCCCCCACCATTACAGGGCAGCTGCTGCCCCCAGCTGCAAGTCCTGGAGGTCAGCACTGGCATGAACTGCAACAGCACACCCCTGCAGCTGCCTGTGGAGGCCCTGCAGAAAGGCTGCCCCCGGTTACAGGTATCTATGCTCTCCCTTCTCCCACGTTGCCACTTGGCGACGCGTCTGCAGCCTGTCCCTCCCCCCGACTCACAGGTGCTACGACTGCTGAACCTGATTTGGCTTCCCAAGCCTTGTGGACGAGGGGGGGTGCCCCAAGGACCAGGCTTCCCCAGCCTCGAGGAGCTCTGCCTGGCTGGCTCCACCTGCAACTTTGTGAGCAACGAGGTTCTGGGCCGCTTGCTCCATTGCTCCCCCAAACTGCGCCTGCTGGATCTCCGAGGCTGTGCTCGGATCACGCCCACGGGCCTGTGTGATTTGCCGTGTCAAGGTCAGCTGGCCTTGCGTGGTAGATGGGATGTGGGAAATCATCGCCTGCCTCCTGTTCACACTCGGTTCTCTCATCCCAGAGCTGGAGCAACTCTACCTGGGCCTGTATGGCATGTCTGACGGCTTGACGCTGGCTAAGAAAGGCAGCCCTCTGTTGACCCAGAAGTGGTACCACACCCTGAGGGAGCTGGACTTCAGTGGCCAAGGCTTCAGCGAGAAAGACCTGGAACAGGCCCTGGCCGTTTTTTCTGGCGCCTCTGGGGGCTTACACCCAGCCTTGTGCTCCCTCAACCTAAGGGGTACCCGAGTCACACCAAGCACAGTCAGGTCAGTGCCTCTTTCTCTGGGTCTTTGACTCTCGTACTGCTTGGTGCCATATCTGACTTGGGGAACCAGAGGTGTCCTTCCCGGTGTCACAGGGGCCAAGCAGAGTATAGGCACTGGCCAGACTCCTGCTTGGGGCCATCAGGAGAACTAAGCTTAGGCCTGGGTGGCTATAGGTAGTAGGCCTGGTGTAAAGTGAGGACAGAGAGGGCTCCCTGGCCCACAGCTCACTTTCCCATGGCCTTGCCTGTTCCACAGTTCTGTGATTAGCAGTTGCCCGGGGCTGCTGTATCTCAATCTGGAGTCCTGCCGGTGCCTCCCCAGGGGTCTGAAGCGAGCTTACCGGGGCCTGGAGGAAGTCCAGTGGTGTCTAGAACAGCTGCTTACAAGCCCACCAGCCTCCAGATAGTCCACTGGACTCAGACACCTCCCAGCTCTTTTCCCTGCCCCTTTTCACTTGGAAATGTTTGAGCTTTTGTTACAATAAAGTATTTTTAAGCATTCTGTATGGTCCTTTGTTGTTTTCTTTGAGATTCTGCTCACACTAATCTAGGAGGCTGGCCTGGAACTCAGTGTAGCCCAGGCTGACCTTAAACTCACAGTAATCCAACCTATCTCAGCCTCCCAAGTGATAGGCTTACAAGCATGGACCAACATATGGTCCTTAGAGTAAGTTGTTGGATGAAAAACAGGGTCGTACCTGATGGTGCAGGCTACAGCAGCCCAGGCCTGAGTATATGGGAATGGCTCTTAGGTCTCCTAGCCCAAGGGTTTGCTGTGTCTGCTCACTGCAGGGTTTGACCCCTGAACTGTGTGAATTCCACCCTTGGAACACGGTTATCTGAGGGTAGGGTAGGCAGTGAGGGGTAAAATGGTGGGGAAAAAAAAGGTACAGAGGCCTTTATCAGCCACTAGAATCCGGGAGTTGACAGTGTTGGTAGCATTGACTTAGGCTGTCCAGCCATGAGGAAGCCAGGCTGCCTTCCAGGTCGTGGGGACTGACCGGAGAGTGCAATGCTCACTAGAAAGGTGTGGTCAATAGAACAGCCCCTTCTAGAACCCTCGGCCCTGAACTTCTAGAACCCAGGCAGCCCGGCCTGGACTGCTGTCTACTTCCCTGCCCTCCTCTTGTCTGGCACTCTTGTTCCTTCCTGAACTGCCACCCTGGAATTGTCTCGGGTGCGAGTCCTCTATAGAGGCGGTGGGTGAGGGCAGTGGGCAAGCCGTACGCTGACTACTTCTACCTAACCAGGTCCCCAAGGAACAGACCAGTGGCTTCTCCACGTCTGCCATTGCCCAGCACTTCTGGTTCTGGGCCCTAGGTCTCTACTCTACTGAGCGTCACTTAGCCAGGAGGCTCAAGCACAACAGCTTTTACCCCTTCCAGCAGCAGCAGCAGGATGGTAGGCAGGGGACTGGGCATGGCCAGGCGCCTAGAAGTGGAGAGGCTGGCTGAGGCCTGGATGGGTGAGGGTAGGCACTGTAGTAGCATGGAGAACCTCCACTGGGTGGGCTCTATCCCCCAAATCCCTGGTACCCTCCAACGCCTGGGGGCAGCTCCTGGCTGTCCTCATGTGCCGGATCATGCTGTCCTCAGTCTTTGTGCTAGAGTACTTCCTGGACACGCTCTGGAAGGGGATGCTGCTCTTCATCTTCTGCCTTGTCTTGGTCTGCACTGGTACCCTGGAACAGGTCAGAGGTCCTACACCCCACCCCACCCCACGCAAGAACCTCCTGCCAGCACTCACCTCCCTATTAATCCTTGGTGCCCACAGGTAGAGAAGCAGGAGACCTGGTGTTTTCCTGCCTATGGCATGGCTATCGGCCTGTGGCTCATGATCTCCTCATTGCCCCGGCGCCGCCTAGTGCTGAATCACACCCGTGGCATGTACCATTTCTCCATCAGCGGCCGAACTGTATGTCAGGGGCCAATGCATCTGGTCTACGTGCGCCTGACACTCAGCTCTGATGGTGATGTCTGGGATGGGAGAGGGGAGAGGGAGAGGGACGTGGATTCAGAGCTGGGAAGGGCCAATAAACAGTCCATCTGGACGCTCCCACCCTGGAGGCCCAACCCCTGCCATCCTGCCCCTAGGCTCTGGGAGGTTAGGGTCCTGGCTCAGTTGCGTATCTGTTGCTAGCCTATGGCAGGTGCTTCTTCCAGCTGGTCCTTTGTGGCCACAAGCTAGAGCCGCTTGTCCTGGTACAGCTGTCAGAGCGCTATGAGGTAGGTCCTGCACCCCACCCCACCCCAGCCCCCCAAAAAAGATAACCTGCTGCTCAGAGTTCTTGAGTGGGGCTAATTTTCCCTCGGAGGGTAAATATATAGCACAGTTTCTTTAGTGAGGCCTCCACTCTGCCAAGGGTGGCAGGAGCACCGTGGATCCTAGGCAGGGCTAGGGGTACTTCCTTGGTAAGGGGAAAGGATACCTAAAGAGCATGCTGGTGGGGGGCAGGCGGGGGGATTCTCCTACCTGGAGAATGGAGACCCGGCTGCCATTCACTTATTCATAGCAAATGGAATTCCTGGGCCGGCACATTGCCCGGAAACTCAACATCAACTACTTTGACTACCTGGCTGCCTCCTACCGTCACGTGGTCCGCCACTGGCCACTGGGGGCGACCTTTAACCCTGGCATTGTGCAGCGAAAGGCACAGGCCTACACCAAGTCAAGTGTCACCGACCTGGATGTTTAACCCTGGGGCCTGAATCCCAACCTCCTTTTCCCGACACTGTCCTTATCCCCATCCTGGAGGGACGGCCAGCCAGCCCCACCTACCAGCCTTCCTCTTACTAAAGCTGCTTCCGTCTCCAGCCAGGTGGTTCTCTGTTTGTTTGTTTGTTTGTTTTTGAGGGGGCATTCTTTAAGGGTCTTCCCCTAGCACAACCTTCCAGGGCCTGAGAATCCCATCTTCTCCAGCCTCTGGAGCGAATCCCACAGTTTGGGTTAGAAGCAGCGAGCAGAGTATCATGTAACCAGGCCTCTGAGTATCTGAACTCATCACTAGGTTTAGGACTTCCTGTCCCTCTTAGCCCGCAATGCTGAATTGGGGCTAACCAATGAAGCCCGGCAGTCAGAATATGATTGGTCTGTCTGACTTAAGCACCTGCCCCTCGTCCAGCCAGCAGTGATATGGGGCAGAGTCAGATGATATGCCCTGGGCCTTCTGGCATAAATGGGACTCCGTATCCCAACGTTGCTTATGCACACTTGGCTTCCAGAGTCCTCGGCCAAGCTGCCAGGCCCACCATGGCATATACTTTGTGTCTCTGATGAGCATCCTTGTCTGGAAGAACACTCTAGCTCCCACTGAGGCCTCCTGGTGCCTGGGGCTGCCATGGGAGCAGAGGACCACTGTCCATCTGGCTCTGTGGTCAACATGTTGGCATGTGTCCCTGGTACCAGGACTAGCTACATAATTAGTAGAGCTACAAGATAAAGATATAGAGCCTTGCCTAGTGCATGCCTTTAATCCCAGCACTTGAGAGGCAGAGGCAGGTGGATCTGTCTCTGATTTTGAGGCCAGCCTGGTCTACAGAGCGAGTTCCAGGGCAGCCAAAGTTACACATAGAAAAACTGTCTCAAAAAAAAAAAACAAAAACAAGGGGCTGGAGTGATGGCTCAATGGTTAAGAGCACCAACTGCTCTACCAGAGGACCCGGGTTAAATTCCCAGCACCCACATGGCAGCTAACAACTGTCTGTAACTCTAAGATCTGACACCCTCACACAGACATACATGCATACACCAATGCACATAAAATAAAGATAAATAAAAATAAAAAGAAACCAACCCACCCACCCCCCCAAAAAAAAGAGAGAAAGAAAATATGGAGTCTTCATTAAAATGTTGTTAATCTACACACCTATAATCTCAGCTTTGGGTGGATAGAACCAGGAAGATCAGAAGTTCATGGCCATCCTCTGATACACTGTGAGCCCAAGGTTTGGGCTACAGAGATCCTGTCTCAACAATAAAAATCACTAAGGGGTTAGGCAGAGTGGAACACCTTTAATTGTAGCACCCAGGAGGTAGAGACCAGAAGTTTGATAGTATGACGGTAATAAGATACTGTCTTAGAAAAAAAAGTTTAGTAAGGGATCTGGAGTGTAGGATGAAGCTCACATGTGCAAGGCATGGGTTTCATCAATCCGTTGGGACAAAAAAAAAAAAAAAGGAAGGAAAAAGAGAGGAAGAGGGATGGGGAGGAAAGGATGATGGACAGAAAACATCCTTGGAAAATTACAAATTGTTAGTCACGCCAATGGAAAATGGCTGGGAAGTTCAATGAGAAGCCCTGTGAGCAAGAGAAGGACAAGTAGAAGCACTAAGGTTTCAAGAACTGCAAAGAGGAGTCGGCTGAGGTCACAGCTTGAAGGATTTACTGGGTAGGTAGGCCCGGGGAAACAAAGGCACTTCTTGTGAGGCCCAGGGCTTCTGGCCTGGGCACAGGGGCTGGTGAGCAGGATGGGAGTAAGATTTCTAAGGGGAGTTAGGCCTGAAGTTGCTGGGCAGAATTACTCAGTATTCAATGATTTTACAGATCTGAGGCTTGAACCCAGGGACTCAGGGGTGCTAGGCAAATGGTGTCCCACTGAGCTGTACTTTTATCCCTGCATGGGAGATTTTTTTTTTTTTTTAACAGAAAGGCATGGGGAGAAGGAAGGAGCTGCATGCACAGGTCTGCATCTCTATCAATTACCTGTTGCTGTGACCAAATTCCTGAGAAGAATCAGCTTAAGGGAAGAAATGTTTCTATCGTCTCATGGGTGACGGGATCTGCCTTGTTTTGGTGGGGAAGGCACAGAAAGCCAGAGCATAGAGAAGCTGAGCTCAATTGTATCCACAGTCAGGAAGCAGGGAGAGAAGAATATTGATGCTCTGCTCACTTTCTCCTTTATATACAATCCAGTATGCTAGCTAGGCCACAAGATGTTGCTACCCCCATTTAAGGTGGGGCTCATAGACATACATAGCCATTTTTTCCCGTAGTGCTTCTAAGTTCAGTCAAGTTGACAAAACTGACCACCACATTTTCCAGATGTGTCTACAAAGCCAAGGCCCCGGGTAAGATGTATCTGGCAGTTCAGTAGGGGTAGTAGGTGAGAAGGTGTACAGGGATGTCGATCTGGTATCTGACACAGAGGCAGAGGAAGAGCCTCAGAGACTGGGAACCGGGAATGGGAGGAGAGGGAACCTATGTTATGTAAGATGGGGACTTGACTTCAGAGAAGGAACTCACTAGCTCTGTACAAGTGGGGAGAGGGAGGGAAATAGTGGAACTCTAGGTAGAGAAAGAGAAGGCAGCCTACAAGATGGAGGCCTCATTTGAGCACATTTAAGGCATATTGGGGGGCTGGAGATCAGGATCAGTGGTTAAAAGAATATACTGCTCTTATAGAGGACCCAACATTAGTTTCTAGCACCCACATGGTCACATGTGGTCACAACTGCCTGCAATTCTAGTTCCAAGGAATCTAGCACCCTCTTGTCACTGTGGGCACCTGTACTCACAAGAGGGTTTTTGTGTACACACACACAAACACACACACACACACACACACACACACACACACACACACACACTTTTTAAAAGAATACTAGTGTAGAATACTAGATATTATTGTTCCAAAAGATTTATTTTGAAGCAGGTGATTGGCTATTTGTAAAAACCATGTTCTTGGATGGGCAGAAAGGAAGGTGATTAGGGCTACACATGATTGGGAGCAGGTGTACTCCACTTATGTAGCTGGATAATTCATGTAGCTATACTAGCTAGGAACTTGGTTGGGGCCACAATGTCCAAGATGACCTGCCATTATGCAGGACCCTTTTCCAAGTAGCCTCTAATCATTCAGGAGGTCCCCCAGATGTTGGCTTTCAGAGAGGAAATAATAAGAGAGCAGACCCTGGAAGGCACCTGTTTCAACATATGTCTAAATGTGTTACATGTTGATGCCTCCATGGACAGAAGTTACACAAGAAAGCAGCAGTGGTGGCGCATGCCTTTAATCCCAGCACTCGGGAGGCAGAGACAGGTGGATCTCTGTGAGTTCGAGGCCAGTCTGCTCTACAGATCAAGTTCCAGGACAGGCTCCAAAGCTACACAAAGAAACCCTGACTGGAAAAACAAAACAAATAAACCACCACCAACAACAAAAGCCATCACTGTGTGGAGGGGTTAGATGACCCTTAGGAGATAGGAAGAGCAGGGCTGTAAGTATAAGCAGTCCAACAGAGTACACCCTCTAGGTCTCCCCTGAAAGATACAGACTCCTTCCAGGACCCTTGAGGTCTCAGGTCATTGGCCCTCCACTCAGGTTGAAGTCCAGAGTCTGAGCATCTATGTCAGGTGCAGAAACACACGGGGGTCCTCAGGCACAGTCCTCCCTTGGGGTTGTCAGGTCCAGAGTCCTGAGAATTAAAAACCCAGCCCCCACGCCATGTACATTAGTGACAAAGAGATGGACTGTCTTCAGTAGACGGAGTAGATGGAGACAGCCTGGAATGTGGGCTGTATACAGCTTCCAAAGCAGGGTATAGAAGAGGGAGCTGGTAAGTGGACAGTGGACCACCGAGACAGATACCACTTTAAATCACGTGTGTCATATACTATCGCTAGACTTCAGTAAGAAGACTGGGTCACCCTCATCTACAGACAACTGCAGACCAACGTCAACTTAAGAAAGGTATGGTGGCACATGCATGGGATCTCAGTGCTTGAGCAACTTGAGTCTCTCAAGTTCTGGGCCCGCCTGGACTACATAACGAGCCCAGTTGGAGTATTCTATGAAATATTCCATTTTACAAAATTGGACATCATTCCTTAAAAAAAAAAAAAAGCCACAGAGAGCAAGGAAAAGCTAAGTGCATCACAGACCCCAAGGGACCACAAGGGATGCCTAAATGTGGTGATCACCTCGAATGAGCTGGCACCGGGAACAGAAAGTGGACGCTGGTGAGGAGATTGGTAACTCCAAATAAAGCCTGGGTTCTGTTAATAATGTGTCAATCGGTGTTGGGTTTCTTAGTTTTGACAAATTAATCATAGAAATGTAACGTACTGAACCTGGCCTGGAGGTGTGCACTTAGTCTCTGCCTTTAGGAGGCTGGCTTTAATAAACAAGTTAGCCCTGCGTGGTGGTGCGGGCCTCTGATCCTAGCGAGGCAGAGGCTGGAGAACCTCTGCTGAATTTGAAGTCAGCCTGGTTTACATGTCGAATTCCAGGCCAGCCAGGTTACATAGTGATACCATGTCTCATAGAAAATGGAGAGGGGCTGGGTTACATATTGGGGCCAGGAATGTAGGTCAGTGGTATAGCATTTATTTACTCAGCACGTACAAGGTCCTTGGTTTGGACCCCAGCACTGGAAAAAAAATTTTTAAACAGGAGCAGCAGCAGACATCCTGCTGTCCTGAAGTAGTAGGACCTTGCTCTAGAACCTTCCACTGCTCCAATTGCTTCTTCTTTCTTCTCTCTTCTTTCTCCTCCTCTTTGGTTTTTCCAGGCAGGGTTTCTCTGTGTAGCTTTGCACCTTTCCTGGATCTTGCTCCACAGACCAGGCTGGCCTCGAACTCACAAAAATCTGCCTGGCTCTGCCTCCCGAGTGCTGGGATTAAAGGCGTGCGCCACCACCGCTCGGCTTGGCTCTGTTCTTTTAACCATCCTTATTCTTGGCTGGCTTTGTCTGTACCGACAAACGTAGAAGCTCGAGGGTCTCTTTTTGTTTTGAATGGTCTAGCTCATTTCGTCCAAGCCAGTATGACTCCTCTAAACACCATGCAGGCTTTCAACTGTTTAGATGTGTTATT